GAATCTCCGGATCTCCAAAAGCCTACAGCCCGAGAACTGCCACAACGGCCCCAAACCTCTGATGCCTTGGAGATGGAAAAATGTTCCCTACATCCCTAAACCCTACAACCCTAAACCCTAAAACCCTGAACCCTAAACCCTAAAACCCTAAACCCTAAACCCTAAAGCTAGACTCTGCTTAAGCCCAAATTACCGAATTAGGGTACAGCGACAGGCCTCAGAGTTCAAGCGCCTTGGACGACAAGCATACTCTACACAAAGAAGGGCTGAACCCTATCCTTCAGGTCAACAAATATTGCCTACTTGGGTTACCCTAAACCCTAAACCCTAAACCCTGCGAATGGCAGCCCTGGGTTTATCTGTTTAAGGTGTACAGGGTCTGTGCTCAGTGTCCCTGGAGCCTACTATAGGGACCTTAATGAGTAGACTAGGCTTTGGGGCTCTACTCTACTATAATTCTAAAAAACAGCCCCCAAAACCCTATTCCGATTATTAAGGCCCCTACATTACCGGTTGTTGTTGTTTGGGGCACAGAAGGATTCGGCGTGAGGGCCAAGGTCAGGAATGACGAGGAGCTTGTGTCGGGCGATTGAGGGTTTAGGGTTTGGGGCTGGGTCAACCGAAGTCATGCTGGGACGCTGGGACATGCCCAAGCCCTATATAAGCCCTAAGCCCTAAACCCTAAACCCTAAACCCTAAACCCTAAACCTCACTACACCCTAAGACTCCTAAAGGTATGCTACGTAGTGTATCAGTGGCTACGTGGCGAGTAGCAACAGCTAGAGTAGATAGAGCCACTCCACTACACCTGCCGTAGTTATTCTGGCTGTTGCTGTTGCTGTATACAAGCCATCACAAGCAGCGGTCAACCGTAGATCCTAGACCGTTCCTGCATGATTCGTTCAGCAAGGTCAAGTTCCTACATCCTCCGAGGGATTTCGTCGATGCGGCATCCAAACTGCCTAGACGCCCGATTGAAGTCATATGGTTCAGGGGTTTAGGGATTAGGGTTCAGGGTCTAGAGTCTAGACCCTAGCATTGGATTTGCCCGTGTTGGATTTGGATGTGGCAGTTGGCACATAGACGATGTGGCCTGTTGCTTTGTTCTGTAGTCTGCAACAGCTGGAAACGATTGAAACAAAAAATTACAAACCTTATGGAACTTTCTGGTAATGCGGTTGATGCGTAAACCCTATGCCCTAAACCTTTCAAAAAACTAAAACCAATTGCGTTGAATGTGGTCGATTACGATGAAGGCTATGGCCCCCGATCCGGCATTCAGTCAAGACCCTGAGGCTGAAAGATCATGCCCAGCACGGCTTCCCGGGTCCATAAGCTTGAAGCCCAAATCCCAAACCCTAAACCTTAAACCGTAATCCCAAAACCCTCAACCGACCGACCGACCCCTAAAACCTAAACCCTAAACCCGACCGACCCCTAAACCCCCACGTCGAAGCCCAGGAGAACAAGCCATCTACATGATCGATCGCTTCTGGGAGGGGGAGACTGCTGACGGCCAGCCCGTGAGCAAGGTCAAGTACAGGACTCTTACTCTAAGGGTTTAGGGTTTAGGGTTCGAATGACCTACCGGTTTAGTGTCTATTAATCAAGTTCTTGGGTTCAGGGTAGTAGTTATGCTAGGTGTTTGGAGAGTGTACGATTATTAGGTACTTGAAGCCTCAGAATTAACGGTTGGGCAGTCGCGATATTATATGAAAACGAGCACACCTTGAACCCTAAATCCTGCACCTTATACCTTAAGCCCTGACGCTTAAACCCTGAACCCGACTCCTAAATCCTAAACCCTACTACCCTGAACCCTGCAGCTCTGAGCCCTACAAACCTCAAGCTCTGAACCCTAAATCCTAAAACCCCATACCCTAAACCCTAAACCCTGAAACCCTGAAGCCCTAAACCCTAAACCCTAAAACCCTAAAACCCTAAACCCCAAACCCCCTAAACCCTAAGACCCTAAAGCCCTAAAGCCCTAAAACCCTAAACCCCTAAACCCTAAACCCTAAAACCCTAAACCCCTAAAGCCCTAGAACCCTAAAACCCGAAACCCTAAACCGTAAACCCCCTAAAGCCCTAAAACCCTAAAACCCTAAAACCCTAAACCCCCCCTTGGGGAGGATGAACCGTTCTGGCCCTCAGTGCCCTGGGCTCCTTGGGGACTTCATCTACCTGAGCCCTGGGCTCCAGGTGCCAGGGCTTTTAATAGAACCAGTGCGTGTCTTTAGGGTTTAGGGGTTAGAGGTTTAGGGTGTAGGGTTTAGGGTTTAGGGGTTAGGGGTTAGAGGTTTAGGGTGTAGGGTTTAGGGTTTAGGGTTTAGGGGCTTGGGTTTAGGGGTTTGGGGAGGGTTTAGGGGTTTAAGATCAGTGTGTGTGTTTTAGGGTTTAGGGGGTTGCACAAGGTGCCAGGGGTTTTAAAATCAGTGTTATTTTTAGGGTTAAGGGGTTGTACAACAAACCCAAACCCTAAACCCTAAACCCCAAACCAATCAACCAACCCTTTAAAATCAGTGTTTAGGGTTTAGGGGGTGGCAAGGACTTCAGAAGCGTCTTGCTTTGGGCCTTGCGGAGGTTCATGGGTAGTTATATGATAAGTCTTACAAGTGGGGTTGATACCACTTAAAACTACCCCAAGAGCCTCAAAGAGGGTGTGGTGGCGAATTGTTTTTTGAGGATTTTGGGGTTTGGTTGGGTTTGGGTTTAAGGCTGTGGTTCAGGGTTTAGGGTTTGTGTGAAAGTCAATAATGTAGGGGCCTAAAAAAATTACCAATACTATTTTGGGTGTAAAACTAATGGGCCCGCAAAACCCTATTCTAATTGTTAAGGCCCCTATATATATATATATATATATATATATTACAACCAAGCCAAACCCTAAACCCTCAACCCGATGCTCAGCGGGAATCCATGATCCAATTTCCTGCTCCGGGAGACTATCGCACAACAGATGCTAGCTGAGTCTTCCTGCTCAAGGGCGTCATTAGGTGTTGGCTTTAGGCTGCACCTGGGCGACCAATTTAGAGAAGCCCCAACCAGAAGAGGTAGCAAAGCTTCCTGATCCCCTAAACCCTAAACCCTGAACCCTAAACCCTGAACCCTAAACCCTGAACCCTCAACCCTGAACCCTGAACTCTGAACCCTGAACCCTGAACCCTGAAACCTGAACCCTAAAAAACCCTAAACCAATACCCTAACATGTTCCCAAGACCTTAAGTCGCAAAAGCCGTAGACTCACATCGCCCTTTGAGCACGAGGAGCATTTGTGTATGCATCGGCATGCCCGAGACCAAAACCCCAAAACGCTCAACCTAGACCGAGCGCCCTACACACAGCAATCGCTAAAGCCCAGGTGAGAGATTCGGATGATGAAGACCTGAATATAGACCCCAAGCAGTAGAATTTAATTCAAAGATTGCGAGGATCCCGAGAACAAGCCCCCCCCCACCCTAAACCCTAAACCCTAAACATTAAACCCTAAACCCAAATTGAAAAACCCTCAGGTGACTTTGGAGAACCTTCAGTCCAAGATGACCTGGTACATCCAGCAGCCTCGCACGTTAGATCGGACGATCCCAAGGCCGCAGACGTTCGAGTAAGTCTGTCTGGTGCTTAGTAGGGAATGGGGGAATGGGTTATAGGGACTACTACAAGGGACCTTAAGGGACTGTCATAGGGATCCATTCCCCCATGCCCTACTAAGCGCCAGACAGAAGTGGATAGGTGCGTGAGTGGGTGGGTTGGGTTTCCTCAAAGTAGGGGTGGCTAAGCTTTTGGCGGTTCCTTACAACCTATACAGATACTTTCACATTGGGTCAGGTGTTGGCGGAATCGGCCAAATAAGACCTCAGCACTTGTAATCCCCTTGCCACTGATTGAGCTCGATGGTGATGTTCGTAATTAGGGCTTCCGGAATTCGGGCTCGTAAGGCCCTTCAGGACAGGGGATTTACTCATCAAGGTCCTTCACTACTCTTAGGAATCATGTTCTATTTTTCTTAGAATATTACTCCCGCGGAAAAAAAGAATATTGTATATTCTGGTTCTAAAGGAAGCAAGTCACTAAGTCTTCGTGAGATGAGCCAATGAGAATAGCAAGCCAGTGAAGAGGCAAGCATGTTCCGCCACCCCCGACCGCCTGAGCGCGCTGTAGGGTTTAGGGTTCAGGGATTAGGGTTTAGGGTTTAGGGTTTAGGGTTCAGGGATGGGGTTTAGGGTTTATGGTTTAGGGTTCAGGGATTAGGGTTTGGGGTTCAGGGTTTAGGGTTTTTGGGGGTTGGGAACTTAGGAGTTTAACTTCCACTGCTCCTTCTACAGCTTCAGGAACGGAACGTAGCATAGAGGACAAAGTCGGGCGCGTTTCGTTTGTACGAAGCCCTCAAGCCTTAAACCGCCGACCCAAAGCCCCGAAGCAGCAGAACCTCTTGAGCCTTACAATAAAACCGTCAAGCCCTATAAGCCCCAACACCATAAACCTAAACTGCATCTAAACTCAGACTCCTTTCGCAACATGTAGCTCATGCTTCTCATGCTTATGCTCGGCTAAGGGCTTGGCGCGTCGGGTTTAGCGATGTTGTGACTTGACTGGGATCCTAGACCACGAAAACTTCAAAAGGTGTTACATTGGAGAATCAAGGCAGGCAGCTAGTAAAATCGCAGACATACTGGAAGCAGAAGCACCTAGAAGACCCTATATACCCTATGCACCAACAGGAACCTAAAGCAGCCCTCAAGCCCTAAATCACAAAAGGCGCTAAACCCAAAGCCTCGACCCTAAAAGGCCCCAAGCTCTAAACCGAAGCCCCAAAGGCCCTAAACTTTAAACTTAACCCCTGCAAATTGCTTTGGGTTTAGGGGTTTAGGGTTCAGGGTTTAGGAACCCTAAAAGGCCCTAAACTCAGGGTTGAGATGGTTTAGGGTTTAGGGTTTAGGGTTTAGGGTTTAGGGTTTAGGGTTTAGGGTTTAGGGTTGAGATCTTGGCACCCCTTGCAGGTGTCCCCAAAGCTGTCTCGCCTCCAACGGCCTCCATGCAGTGGACCAGTTTGCACTTGTACTCGCACTAGGCCCGCTTTTCACCAGGCTTCAAACCTGTTCTAATCCCGAAAATAAGACGAGGCCTTTTGGCTTTTTGTTTGAGTAGGGTTTTTTGCCGGTTGTAGGAGGGGGGGGTTCCAGACATTAATTGATGAAGGGTGTTGTACGGCTGCGTGTGGGGGCTTTCTAGCAGGATAGCAGTTGTCTAAAGCTGCTCTCGATGGTTAAGTTCGTCTTGCCTTTGTTGCGTTAGGCCGTTCAGGGTTTAAGGCTTAGACTTCGTTGGTTTTCAATATACCGAACAAATAAAGTTCTACTAGCAACTCCTGTTCGTATCTATACCGCACATATCGAATTAGGGTTAAGGGGTGTAGGGTTTAGGGTGGTTTAGGGTTTAGGGGTTTAGGGTATAGGGTCATTAGTCTATGCTGGAAGCCGAGAAGCACACACTCTTGATTTGCAAGTCCGTGTTTTGAAGCGCTTTCAGACGCTTCTGAAACAAAATTAAGTCCTGAGCCACAGTCCAGCATCTGTCGGTTCGGGGCTCCGACACTGGCATGCAAAATTCAGGTGTGCTGCACCGGTCAGAGACTCAAAGATAGTCTGTTGTTATCGAGCCGGGGGAGGGGAGATTATTGTAACGTTCCATCTGTGTTTTCATTAAGAGGCTAGTAGGATGGCCAGGTTTCTATACACGGACGTAAGTAATTTTGATGTTCTTTGGGGTGTGTTACTGGGAAGTCTCACCCCCTCGAAAGCTTGGCACGAACAGATGGTTCTATGATTACCGGTGTGACGGTGGTTTGGGGCTCAGTTTGTAAACCAAGACACACCAACTCCTGGAGTTTAGAGTTTAGGGTTTAGGGTTGAGGTTTAAACCCCTAAACCCTAAACCCTAAACCCTAAACCCTAAAAGAGTTTAGGGTTTAGGGTTGAGGTAAAGCGAAGGCTTCCAACCTCCGTCAGGAATGCCACAAATCCGCATAAGACCTCGGTAAATTTGAGATCACACACACTACCCGTAACAACCGTGGGAAAATACTCAGGAAAGCCAATCCTAAACCCTTAACATGTGCTATCCATTGCCAGGCGAAGCCGTGAAACCTACTGGAGAGGGGCCACCCGTCCAAAGGGGAAAGTGCTTAGAGTTGGGCTTTAGGATTAGGTGTCTTTCACGATATGGGCGTGGGAAGAACAAGTGATAAACTCCCCTCCGATTTGATTTGTTTTCAGAATCGTAAAACTCGGTTCCAACGGTTGAGGCCCCAATGTTAGGGACAGCTTCATGGATTCGGATCTTGGGATAGACTAAAACCCTGAACCCCTGAACCGTTAACTCGTCCTCCTCCTTCTCTTGATCCTCATCTCTGTCGATGTGGTTATCGGGGTTGGCATGTTCGTCGTCCTTGTCTTTGTGCTTGCTGTGGTTGTGGGCAACGGTGGTTATGGTTGAGTTTTGCTAATTTTTGCTTAGTATTCCCCTAACCCTCCAGGTGCCTACTATACAGGGCCCTAGGGGCTCTAGTACCCTATATAGTAGGTACCTGGGGGGTTAGGGTTCAGATCGCTGCAACATCCTAGGCTGCCGGAGGCCTTTGCCAGGTCAAGGGTTTCAAGCCCCCAGGGCTTGGGACGGAGATAGATCCACACACCGGAACCCATTTATTAAAGGAAACTACAGCTGGGGAGTTTTGGGTGTATAGGGCTTCTATGAGGCTTCTATAAGGTATATAGACCTTCTATAAGGCTCCTGTAATGGTAACTACCCACCTGAAAATGTCCTAGGCTCTAGAGACCAAACCATTTGGAATCCGTGTGAAGACCGTGAACTGAGGTGCTTTGCTCTTGACGCAGAGGCCCGCGCAGGGCTGTGGGCATTGATGTGAGGTTGTAGGGCTTCGTATTACTGTCGTATCGACTACAGGCGCAGATGTACTAAACCAGCAGAAATCACAGTATTGGGCAGCAACAGTACCTGTACCAGCAGCAGTAAAAGTATAGTAGCAGCAGCAGGATGATGATGAGGAGGAGGAACGGCAATCGCAGCGCCAAGACTACTAACCACGAATCGAATCTTGAACTGCGAGGTCGTGATCACAGGACTCAGGCGTGAGATTTCCAGGCTTGTCCAAGCAGTCCCTTCTCAGATGTAGTCTGATTGTTGAGAAGCTCCGACTTACGGAGAGTCCCTTTACTTTGGGGGTCTAATTAAATAGACAACTACCAACAGCATTTTGGGCAGCTCCTCGTTATAATTATTGTATAAATATACCCCAAAACCCTATTCAAATTATTAAGGCCGCTATATTACCCCATTCCGCGTCGTAGCCAGCGAAGCACCATCTAACTACCCGAGCTCCGATGATGCAACACCAAGATGTGCAGCACGGGAGGCATACTCCCACTGGTATCCAAGGACTCCGCGCACACTTGCAGCTCGGTGCAGGGTTTCAGGGCGGGCGACGAAAACCAGATCTAAAGAAGGCTCAGGGTTTGTTTAAGTTTCAGCCATTAAACCCTAAACCCTACCCTTCAAGCTTGCTCAAGATTTATTGTGTTTAGGGCTGAAGCTTGGAGCATCCGCAACTCCTAACCACTCTCTCCCGTTGAGGCTAACGCTTGTACGGATCTTGCCTCGTCTCAGTTATGGAGTTAAAATCCTAAACCCTAGACCCTAAACCCTTTACATGCAAGGGTGTAGCTAGGTCCGCGGTTCCGAGCTTAATGAGGTAATCTAGGGGCCTAAATATTACCAATAGTATTTTGGGGGTTCCTTATTAGATATATAGTATAATGGGCCCCAAAACCCTATTCTAATTATCATGGCCCCAAAAACCCTTGTAGCAGCCCTTATATAGAACCCTTTAAGGAACCCTTCAAAGGAGCCTCCAAAGCCCTAGTCTAATTCTTATGGCCCCTAAACCCTAAACCCTTATAGCCCTAGAACCCTTTAAGGAACCCTTTAAAGGAGCCTCCAAAAACCCTAGTCTAATTATTGTGGCCCCCTAGAGTAGGTTCCGGATTGAGGACCGTAGTGTCACGGGCATGGGTTGTTGTTCGGTGATTAGTCTGCAGCATCCGGGGGGAGTCAGTTAGGGTTAGGGTTTGGGGTTTAGGGTTTAGGGTTTAGGGTTTAGGTTGTAGGGTCAGGATCAGCTTGATTGGTTTCGGTGCACCTAGTAAGCAGTCACTTGAATCGTTATTCCTGGTTCCAGGTACACTAGTGATAATCGTTTATAGTCATCGGAAAATAAGAATCATAGGACCAGTAGGAACAGAAGTGACACTAGCAATGATAGATCAAAAGAAAATAAAGATAACAGTACACCCGAAACCCTAAACCAACATCTATCGAAGCCTCTCAACATTTCAAGGTGTAAGGCTTTAGGGTTTAGGGTTTGGGAGGCTGTTCATGGGATTGTTAACAATGCTTGCAGAGCAGAGTGCTCTATTCGGTGTAGATGTGCAGGGTCTAGACGGTCTAGGCACTAGGTCCCGGGGCCACCAAGCGGACCCCTAAACCCCTAACTGCGCAGACTACTTGAGCCCAAATGTCAATCAACCTACCTGTTTAAAGACTTAAACAAGCAAACCATAATAGGGAGCCCGAAAAAGGAAGCGTTTATAGGATCCAGATACGGATTGTAGGGAAGGCTTGACAATCGGGAGCACTAAATCCTAAAACCTAGACCGACCTCGCTCAGGTAACTCACGACAAGGCCATGGATGAGTGCACCTTGCACCTATCCCTCTCGGAGACATTGGACGGAGAGGACGGTTCCGGGCTTCTGTTCGGCTCGGGCACTCCAAGACACTAAAGCCTAAACCCTAATACCCCGAACCGCGAGGTTTGCGAGTTATGTGTTTTCTTGCTGTATATATGGTTATTGATGTTTATTGCTTGTATGTGCACATACATGTGTATATATGCATGTACATACTTTCTATTTTCATGTAATGTGCACATATGAATAAATATTTCATGTTTATTAATAACATGCACATGCAGTGTACAATAGATTTGTTAAAACATACAATGCTTGGTGTGTAGTTTACGAATGTTATATGTATATCATGTAACGCTGGGTGTCACGCTCACACATAAAAGAGAGTACCTTACAAGTGAAATGGTCTCAATTGAACCAGATCCCTTGCGCAACATGCCCAGTAGGGCATGCGAAATATTAGTTCGACCACTTTTCCATCCCAATACGAACCGACACGCCGCTTATGCTGGCAGCCATTATCCTATGTATGTCCTGTGCCTTTCCTCAATAAGCCTTCTTCCGAGCTTACCCCGTGGCGTATCCTGAACCTATCCACCACAGAGACGATGAGCCGCCATCAGCCCCCGCCACCCCCCCACCCTGTCAAACCACTTCATGAAGCTGCCGTCATGGAGCCTAAATGATTGAGCACCAAGCGCCATCCTAGCCATCCACCGCAACCTTAATGGAGGGGTTACGGATGAGGGTTTGGGGGTTAGGATTCAGGGTTGAGGGTATCGGCATATTCAATACTAATTTCCTCCTTTTGGCCCCTATATCTTTCGATATATGGATACTATCATGAATTTTCACAGACCCTAGTCGGGGAATTAATTTTCCTTTATTGCTCACACCCGCCCACACCCTGCGATGTAGTTGTTTGGGGTTATTTCGTCGTTTAGGGTTCGGGATTTAAGGGCTTCGGCCATCAGGTCTATAGTATGGGGCCTAGGGTTGTAGGGCCTATAGAGATTACGGGTTTAAGGTTCAGGTTTTGAGGGTCGAATCCTGCCTCGCAGGAAGGCAAGAGAAAGATGCTTCTTGCGACGGCCTCGCTTTTGCTGGTGGCGGCGAGCTCACTGGCGTGCATGAGCCTGGGCGGCACTTCGGGTTTAGGGTTTAGGGTTGTGAGTGCCGGTCCCTGGAACCGTTGGGATACTCTGAAAGAATTATTTCTGTGAGGTTTGTGTGATCGAGAGTGTGAGCGAAATTGTGAGGTTGAGTGTGAGCGGAAGTGTCCCGTCTCTGTCCCACGCACACTCCGCTCAAACTTTTCTCACACTCCCGCTCGCAAGTGTGAGTGGGACCCGAGCACTGTCAGCGGGAGCCGGATGGTTTTTCATGCTCACATTCTCGCTTTCTCTCACACTCAAGCTCACACTGTTCTCACAAAATAAGCATGTCTTTGATTCCAGAGCTTGCAAGGCAGCAGCACTCAGAAGTTTAGGGTTTAGGGTTTGCAGGCTTCCGTAGTCAGGCCTAAGTGCGTGCGCCAAAGACCCTAAACCCTAAACCCACATCACCTACCTTTTCAAAGAGTTATGTATAGCCAACGTATGTGGAACCCTCAAAAGGTAAGTAGGTGTTTTCGGCTACGGGAAAACCCTAAGCCCCAATGTTGCCAACTCTGCCAGCACTTCAATAGCGTTAAGGGGTGGTTGGGTGTGAATGCGATTCAGGGCTTTAGCAAAGAATCCTGGACCCTAAGCAAGCCTAGGCCAAGGATCGCTGTTACATAACCATATAATCCTGTAGTATACTAATCACCGATTTCGGCCTCATTTTTGGGGGGGATTTCGCGTAGACAAGCACCTAGCACCCGATGCGACTCGCCCCTCGTTTTTCGATTGAGGCTTTCTCGAGGGTGTAGGGATTAGGGTTTCGGTGTTGGGGTTTTGCGGTTTGGGATTTTGGGTTGAGGGCTAGGGGTTCGGGTTGTTGGAGTTTGGTGTTGCAGTGTTTTTGGGTTTGGGAGCATGACGTCAGTTAGGCATTGCAGTGGACAGCATGAAGAGCACACGTTAGCCTCAAAGCAGACATGCCTTGGACGCGAGTTAGGGCTTTGTGCTTAGGGATTTTTATGACCATTGCTGTGACTGAAACCTTGCAGCAACATTGATCATAGATAACCAAACATTGTTTAGCACCAAGACTGGCTGTTGCCATTGGTGATGTTGCTAGCTGTTTCGCGTCAAACCTCAAATCCAACCTCCCACCGCTGTGGTGGCATTGACTTTGGGTGCGTAGGGTTTAGGTTTAGGGTTTAGGGTCACTTGGTGATGGTCCTTGGACTTTTGTTTTGGTGATGTTTTGACTGTTAACGAGCGGTGTGTTCAGCTGCTCTTCGAATTTGCTGAAGTCACACTCCCGGTTCCTGCTCGACACGGCATTCGTGACAAGTTCCATGTGAGATGTGTTCAAACTTCCTCGCAAGGAGACAAACGTGGGATTCGAATTACTGCAGTATTACTGCCGCCTTGTACTCCTAGTCTTAGGCCATAATGCCAACAGCCGCAATCTAATCAAGTACTAAGACCTGTACAGTAAACCTTCGGCCTGAAACATGTATCCCTAAACCCTAAACCCGAAACCCTAAACCCTACAGACCCTTATTGGGCCCGTATTGAACCCTTGAAGCAACTTGTTCACAACGCTTCAGTAAACAGCCCAGCCAATGTCCAAGCTCTTTGTGGGGGAAAGAAGGGTCATCTGGAGTAGGATGTTTCAGAGAGCTTGTGAAGTCCGTGGGGGGTTCCTCCACCGGATCTTTACGCGTGTTTTCTCAGGAGGGGTGTAGGATTTGGGGTTTTAGGAGTTGGGGCTTACCGTTGAGACTTGATGAGGTGATTGTATATACGGCTCCTTTGCACTTTATTGGATTTTCCATGAAGTGTATATGGTGGAATGTGTCAATGTCACATGTTGGAGTTCTGGCATCAACAGCATCCTGTTCCAATGCAGATAGTCCAGGTCAACGGCTGTTTGAAGCAAAATGCAGTTCCCCATGCAGGGCTTCTGGAGGCGTTTACCTAAAGAAGTCTAAACCTATCCGGCTTGAACAGACAAAATTCGAACCGTCGAATGGTTTAAGGTTTACATGAATGCTGGACCCTAAGGACCTGGTGATATAAGGGCCTAAGTAGGTAGCTATACTATTTTGGGGGGCTCCTTATGTATAATTAGCCCCAAAACCCTATTTGAATTATTAAGGCCCCAAAACCCCAAACCCTTATAGCAGCCCTTATATCGAACCCTTTAAGGAACCCATTTGATTATTAAGGCCCCAACATTACATATATTGCATATACATTGGCCCACGGTGTCTATAAAGGAAACCCTCAAAGACCGAAGGAGACCCTCCAAGACCGAAGTAAATATTAAAGTCGAAGCCTAAATAATTACAAAAGTATATCATTTTTTTGGTATTTTTCCTTAGGGTTTAGGGTTTAGGGTTTAAGGGGTTTAGGGTTCAGGGTTTTGGGTTAGGGTTGGGGGTTCCTTAGTGTAATTGTAGTATAATTGTTCCCAAACCCCTATTCTAATTATTAAGGCCACGATATTATACTATACGGGCACGTGGAGTTCCAGGAGGATGGTAGAGCTCAAGGCAGGTCTCGTTTGATGACACAGTGAAGCTCTACGTCCCTTTATGGGTTTAGGCGGTTTAGGGTTTAGGGTTTAGGGTTTAGGCGGTTTAGGGCCCGTCTTCGTCGAAATATGTACCCCGAAGAGGCGATTGTGCTGGGATTCATCGTGTACTTGGAGGATCATGGGACTTAGTAACTAGGGTTATAAATAAGGTAACTATAATTATACCCCCAATTAGGGTACTTATAACCTTACTTACTAAGTCCCATGATCCTCCAAGTAGTGTTCTCCCTTGAGAGTTCTGATTCAGGACTGCGGGTTGGCCCTTGGCTGAGAGGGGTTGAGGAGCTGGCCGACCTAAAGACACGGAACGGATGTCCACCCTCGCCCAGCTGATCCTCTTTGCGTTATTTGCTGGCCATCTTGCGCACCTCTTCCATCTTCTGTGCCACCCTGCCATCTTGGAAGCTGACACCACCTCGACTCGCATGTCAATTGGGATTGTGTGGTTTACGATTATTTGATCTCTTCACCTACCTCTCTTAGACCAGGAATGCAGGCATGTGCAAAGGCATAGCTTGGGATGGCATTCGGAGCGCATGTTGGGCAACTTAGCTTGTTTATTGTCGCTCATATATATATATATCATCAATGCAACTCCGCATGTTCTGCTTTCAGCATTCTCTGCGCTTTGCGGCCAGCGGATTGATCGACCGTCTGCAGCGTTTCGGTACCTTTCGAACCAGAACGTTTATGACGTTTCAAATGCCGATCCGTGCATCGCAATTGTGAGGTTCGCCGACGAGATGCAATGGGGCCAGAAGCGGGGATGATGTGAAGTTGCGCGAACACGGCGGGAAAGATCCATGGGCCATGGGGTTATTTAGGTTCGATGTAAAGGGCATGTTTTGATAGATATTTTGTTAGTGCCACGTGCCAAAGAGTGGATTTTCGGAAGCCATCAATATCTTGAGCCCCTGAGGTCTTACACATTTGTTTCGCGACTGTTGCCATCAGCTACGAGCAAGGACGTAGCATTTAGATACTTTCATGGCACAAACCCCACAGCTCTTGTTCGGTTCGTGAGCACTTGATGCGACATGGATCGCAATCAGATTGTTACTCCTTTAGGAAATTAAACTGGAGGTACCCCGCACATATAACCTGGCTGCCTGTTGTTGGTGTAGTCGCTCAGAGCCGTTTCGAAAAGCTCCGATACACGCTAGACCGCTGGACCTTCGTGCCCATTAACCTTCCTAGAGTGACCTTTTGGCAGGCTTAAAGCTACAGTAGATTAACTTCACAAGGCTTCACAACATGGCGTTCAGGTTTGTGGGCTCAGAAAAAAGCGCCCCCTGGTTCCCGAAACCGTTGCACTCTGAACCCTCAATGCTTCAGGGCTTCACGTTGGACAGTACTGGAAGTTCGCAGGCTGTTGCATATGTTTAATGAAGCCAATCTTTGGCCGAGGGCTGCAAATTGTGGGATCCACAAACTTACCGGTAGTCCACATCTGTCCCCCAAAACAGCACAACAGACGTAAGTATGAAGTTCTTACATTGAAAGTAAATAGTTGTTTTTCTGTGTGGCCACGCGGCGCGTCCGAGTCGCGCCAGGGAATGTTGGGCGCTCCCATTGTGTTCGGCGCGTGGTGTGCGCCCATGTTCCGTGCTTTGCATGCGATGCGTTTAGCCACGTCCGGCGCAAATTCTGATTCATTTCAAAGTCCAATACATACATACATACATATATATATATACACATATATATATAGCATAGGCCTCACTTTGACATCGAAATGTATGGCCACCGCCAGCAATTACATGGGGCGAATCATACTGTTTCTTGCTGCTACATGGGGGAAGCATGTACATGGGTTGCTCATGCTTCTGAATCTGCCATTATATTGGGGGAGAATCATTTTGGCAGTGTTTGGTCATGATGGTTTCCCGGTGGTTTGCTGCCGGGTTTGTGGGCGGTCTAGTGAATCTCTTGGTGGTCTCCTGGCAATCTTCCTGGTGGTTTGCCGATGTTCTCCCGGTGGTCTCCTCGTCGTCCTGGTAGTCCCGGTCGTCTTTTCGTCATGCTCGGTCAGGCGTTGCGGAACTACGACATGATCAGGATTGGTAGGTGTATACAGACGTGCCCAGTATTTGGGGAGCCTTGATCCTTGAATGGCAGGGCTGGCTCGTTGTGATTTTTGGCCGCAGCTTTCCTTTAGCAAAAGTCCGCTTCAGACCTGGTCGCACAGCGAGGCGCATAACATCGGCAGCTGCGGTGTATAGTTTTTGCCGGTTTAGCATTTTAGGTTTTGGGATATTCAGACATGAGTCTGAGGGTGATCAGAGAGGGTCATTTCACGATGTGTCAAATCAAGCACTGGGTCATAAGAGGGCTTGCGCTGAATATCGAACGCTGAATATCTAAGGGTCTAAGGGGTCTGCGGCCAAAGCCTGACCCCTGCCAATGCTTCTAAACCCCTGGGGCCTTCAGAAACCCTACACCCGGAACCCGAGATCTCCAGAAGAAGCCTAAACCCTTAAGGTTTAGGGGGGTTTAGGGTAGGGTCATAAACTTTAAACTAAACCATAAAGTCCTGAAGCCTCTCTTCTTTGTGCATTTTTGGCGGAGGTCGAAGGCTAGGGTTTAAAAGTTTAGGGTTTAGGGTTAAGGGCTTAGAGAGTGTAGGTATCTAGTTCCGCCCGGTCGTCAGGGAGTCTTTCTGGGTTTGCTACAAAACACAACCCTAAACCCAGTAGGACTTGAAGGGATAGGGCTTCTAAGTTTTAGGAGGCTGCGGGTTCTAGGGATTGGGGTTTGAGGGCTGTGGGTTCCGAGCTTGTGATTAGGGTATAGGCTTATAGGTTTTGTTTTTTTGGTGGAGTGGGTGGGTTTTTTAACAGGGGCTAGGGGTTGCAGGGTTCAAGGCCCAATACTGACGAATCAGGGGATCTTCCTTAGATCCTGCACTCATGCAGGGCGTCTTATGCTGATTGGAGGCATGTTTCTTGACGCAACTTGTTGCCAGAGCTTCACCCCAGGAGGGGCATCCTGCAGCGGGCCGCCTCCCCCAAAGCCCTCTTGCGAAACCTGAAGTAAAGACCGGGTAGCACAGCCAGCAGCAGGCTGGCCCCCAGTCAAAGAAGGCAAAGGAGGTCCCAAAGAAGCACTCCCAAATACCAAAATCTTATTACGTGAAATCCTCGACACCTCCCACCTTCAAACCGCCAAACCCCAACGCCCCCCAAATCTAAGCCTCAAAGCTCCCGAACCCCTGACCGCCGCACCCCTGCATGAATCTCTAGAACTGCACCTCAAACCCAACAGCTACTTGGAGGCTGGTAGAGCCCCCCTTAAACCCCTACCATGCCCTACAACCCTAAATCCGAATCCTTAGGCCCTATAAACCTTAAATCCCTAAATCCGAAACCCTAAACCCTACACCCAACCCGTCTAGGAACCCTTAAATGGAATTCTTCTGGGCAGGTGGACATGGCTCGGACAAGGGGTGCCCCCCGGCTTCTTACGGCCCGGCTCTTGGATCTAGGGTTTAGGGCTTGGGATCTAGGGTTTAGCTCGGGGTTTGGAGTTTAGGGCTTGTGGTTTAGGGCTTGGGGCGTAGGGCTTGGCGCTTAGCGTTAGGGCTTGGGGTTTAGGGTTTAGGATCTAGGGTTAGGGTTTAGGGTTGAGGGCTTGGGGTTTAGGGTTTAGGGCTCACTGTTTGGGGTTTAGGGTTTATAGGGCTTGGGGTTTAGGGTTTCGGGCTCACTGTTTGGGGTTTAGGGTTTAGGGCTCAGGGTTTGGGTTTAGGGCTCAGGGTTTGGGGTTTAGGGTTTAGGGCTTGGGGTTTAGGGCTTCAAGGGGTTGGCCTCACACAGAGTCATAAAAGTGCCTCTGATGTGCTCCCCTAAGGGTTCAAGTATTGGAAGCTGTGAAGAAACCTTCTTCTGCGGGCGAAATGCCCCCAGGCCCAGCAGACGCCATCCCTCCCTTGTCAGAGTTCGAGTCCGAGGAGATGACGGAAGAGCAAACGCAGCAGCAGGAGCCAGAGAAAGAGGCTGTGCCTGAAAAGACCGTGGACCCTCGACATGAAGAGCATTTGGATATCCTGTGTGCTGCTGACAGTCTGGGCCTGGATTGGTTCGAGCTTTATGCCATGGAGTTCCTGGCCGGGGCTCCTGCTCATTTCTGTTTGTTGTGGTCGTGACGCCACCTCCAATGTGGAAAAATCCATCTTGGAGGTTTCCAAAATCTTAAGGCCTAAATAGGGATTAGGGTTTAGGGTTAAGGGTATTTGGGCTTTGGGGATTAGGATTTAGGGCTTAGGGCTTCTATGGGTTGAATTACGGTTCAAAGTTTAGGGAAGGAGCCCCCGAAAGTTGGAACATGGAGTTAGGGTGATTGGTGCTGGGACCCAAGGGGCATGAGAATAGTAATGTTTCAACTTTCTGGCTTCTCCTCCACCCTTTTAGTCTACGCGGCACGGGCTGCCGTTTGATCCCCACCCCTCCCCCTAAACCTCCAATGCCAAACCCTAAGCCCTGCCATACCCAAAACCCACCTTTTGGGGCTCGTTATAATGATTGTCCTTATGTCCTTCATCAGATAGGCTATTTTGGGTTAAGGCATTTCTTGCCAACCGTGCTAAAGCCAGCATAACATCATAATCTCTTGCACAGCCCTTGTTAATTCCGCAGATGACCCTTAGTATAGGGGCGTGCATAGTTAAAAAGCAGTAGTCTATGACCCTTGTAATCTCTATATAGCTATACCAAAGCCCTACAAATAATACAGGCACTTATGCTAAAGCCTTAGTGCGAACCCATGTAGATCCCTTCAATTCAAGGAAACCTATACTAAACCAGCAGAAACTAAGGCACTTCTTCTCGTGGCGGCAGTGGCCATTGGCCTGCCACGTGCTTTCATCTGCGTGCCGAAGAAGGCAGAGTTCAGGGTTGGTGGGTTAAGGGTTGGAAACCCTAAACCCTAAACATCCCTAAACCCTTTTGCGTTAAGGTCTTAGGGGTCAGGCCAGCAAACCCTGCTCAGGATTAGTAGGTAGAGTGTTGACATGTAGCCTCCAATATATGAAGTTTTGAGGAATATGTAACTGGGTTCTTGTTAAGGGATTTAATTTAAGTTGCCATAATAGGGATCTATAGTAAATAATATGGTTTCCTTATTATGGTAACTTCAATTAAATCCCTTAACAAGAACCCAGGTAACCTCCCATGCGACTCCAAGTTGCCCTTTCTCTGGCCTTTGCATTGGACGATCAAGGTTCGTTTCGGGCTGAAGCGTAGCGGCGTAACGGACGTTTGGCTGGCAGGAGGGAGTTGTGCCAACGGTTCGAGTATACCGTTCACAGTGGCTTGGAGGCTTAATGCTTGGCCCCGTGGCTTGGCCGTAAAGCCCCAACCCCCCGAAGCTAAACATTAAACCATCCTAAACACCCAAACTGTAAAACCCCAAACCCTAAGAGACCAAAACCCCGAAACCGAAGCAGCCAGACTCAGCTGGCTTTGATTCTTAACAATATTCCTTATTTAATTAACAGTTCTAGGAGTACTAATAACACTGGGCATTATACTATTGCGCCAGGCTTGGCGAGCTAAGTTCAGGGTGTGAGAGCTTTGAGAGAGTTTACGGGCGTGGGGCCTAGGACTTAGGGTGTGGAATCTATCATTCGGGTTTCGGGCGGTGTGCTCAAAATTCGGATTTGGGGTTTCCTGTGGCTGGTTTCGGCTTTGGTTCCCAGAATTTATGACTCAGGGTAAATTCGGATCTGCCCTGGAGCTGATAACGTAATACTTGCCACACTGCTTCTTGTAGAAGCAGCTTTCCCATGCAACGATGCAGCCGTGATGCAGCCGTACGTCACGCATTTTTCTTTAACCTCCAGCCGAAGAGCAGCAAGCTTAGGGTTTAGGGTTTAGGGTGTTTAGGTTACTGGTCTATGCGTTTAGGGTTTAGGGTTAGTGGTGCAGGGGTTCAGGATTTCGGGTCTTTGGTGAAATGGGTTAGCCCAAGCGGAGGAACAGAGCCAGAGCCCTACAGTTGACGTGAAACCCCAAAGCCCTCAACCCTGAGCCCTAATTAATGTAGGGGCCTAAATAGTTACGAATGCTATTTTGGGGGTTCCTTATTATAATTATGGTATAGTGGGCCCCAAAACCCTATTCAAATTATTAAGGCCCCAATATTACAATGATTCCGAACTCTGAACAATCCTCTCTCAGAGGCAGCTGATAGGGCTTTGTCTCCAGCACTCGGCGCCGCAGCAACGCTAGCATGGGCTACGGCCTCAGCGTGCATGGTATTCACGTCGCAGGTAGAGCTAGCGCTTCCACCCTATCTCTTATTCATCCTGAGCAGTAAATCCTCGAATTTGGGACCCTATACTACTTAATAAGGGTACTTTATAGGAATCTTCTTGAGGCATCTATACTTTCGATGTTTCGCAGTTACCAAATCCTACACCTTTCAGCTCTGAGCTGCAACTTCCCCAGCTCCCGAAAGCACCTAAGCATTGAACCTACTTTAGCGATTCGAGGGTCTAGGGGTTTGGGTTTAGGGATTGGGGTTTAGGGTTTAGGGCTTATACGGATTAAGTTAGGGTTTAGATCGGCAAATCGATAGATAAATGGATGCAGAGACGGATAGATGGTTACATAGCCAGTTAGATAGGCAGTTAGGGTAGGTAGGCAGGCAGGCAGGTAGGTAGGCAGCTATAGACAGACAGACAGACAGATAACCAAACAGGCGGACACGATAGGCCGGCACTTGGACATAGATAGATAGATAGATAGATAGATAGATAGACAGACAGACAGATAGATAGATAGATAAACAGATAGATAGACTGATAGACAGGTAGACAGATAGATAGACTGATAGACCAGACAGATAGATAGATTGAAAGACAGGCAGACAGGCAGACAGACAGACAGACAGACAGACAGGCAGACAGACAGACAGGTAGACAGATAGATAGACTGCAAGACAGGCAGACAGACAGACAGACAGGTAGACAGATAGATAGACTGCAAGACAGGCAGACAGACAGACAGACATACGGACAGATTTATGCCAGAGAGGGCGCATAGCTTGTGAGCACGTAGACATAGGTGGACAGGTATACAGCTGGTTGGATAGCGAGATAGATAGATGTATAGGTACATGGGTCGACAGATAGGTAGCTTTCCCAAAATCCAAGTCAATCGCCCCAATCCCTAAGCGCCTTAAATCCTGAAATCTCTAGGACTTAAACCTTCAAACCTGGCAGCCCTGAAGCCAAATCTCACCCGAAGGAAGGCCTTCTCCTCACTACACGCATTTCGAGTTTTCTGGTTTGCCCGACTCGGATTTTAGAGTTCATTGTACAACTCTGGGATTCGGCTTCATATCTGAGCGTCTGGGTTTGAGGGCTGCGGGTTTAGGGTTTAGGGTTAGGATTGCTTTCTCATGGCACTTTGCCATCGGCGCAACTGGCAGCTGCAGGCGGAGCAGGCGCGAGCCGTGCAGGAGTATCAGTACATCGTGCCATGGCTGCTTTCAGGTAGTGACTTAAGGTTCAGACTTTGCACAGCTACGCTTCTGCAGCTAGTGGAACGGGCAGCGGCAGGGCAGTGACTGCATGCAACATCACGTCAGCCTTTGCATTGTCAGTTGCATCCTTGCTTGCGAGTATTAGGTTCAAGTGATACGAAGGTTTGGTTATGATGCTGATGATGACGATGCATATGATTGCGATGACCGTGATGATGATCATAATGTCGATGATGCTGATGATGATGACGATGATGGTGATGATGATGATGGTGATGATGATGATGGTGATGGTGATGGTGATGGTGATGGTGATGGTGATGGTGATGATGATGTCGATGAAGATGACTACTCGTACTTCATCGTTCGTAGTTTTGTTGCTTGGCTGGTGTGTGTTTGTTTCATGCCACCCCGACCTGTTAAATCTTTACAGCCTGTACACCCAAGCCCAACAGCTCTGAACCACAACCCCTGCAAACTCAAAACCTGAAACTGCTAAGAAAAGCCATGCCGCTATACATCCTCAGACCCTACCCCTAATTCAAGGCTCTCAGCCCTAAAACTCCACCCTAAGATCCTAAGCCCTAATGCCCTAGCACCTGAACCCGATCTCGTAGTGCCCTGAAACCCTTAAACCCTAAACTCCTCATACCGTTTAGGGTTTAGGGTTTCGAAGCTGAGGCGCCGGACAGAACCGGCCAGGAGCCGTCACTCGGTTCCAGATCTTCGGTGCTCCTTCGAAAGAGGGTTTGGAGTTCGACTCTATATTCAAGGTTTAGGGGTTAGGATGCTAGGGTGTCCTTGCCTAGGGTCTTCCGGTGTAGAGATTTAGGCTTTCGTTTGGTGGGTTCTTCGGGTTTGGGTTTGGACCTGCAAGTTTTTGCTTGTTCTTGGAAATTCAGTGCAGTTTATGCACCAGCATCATAAGGTTTAAGGTATGTCTTAAGGTGGAGCGCCCAAAGGCGATTCCGCAGGTGGCAAGACCCAAGACACCTTCGATTGTCATCGACGAAAAGGTGCGCCAGCCATTCCGGCCTTCAGAGGGAACGCCGAGAAGAAGGTGGCCGATCTCGTGCAGCAACAGAGGCCGCAGAACAGCAGCAGCCTTGGCGGCACAAGCAGAAGACGAGACCGAGGAGGACGAGGCTACTACAGCCACCGCTGCTGCGACGTCAGCCGAGGAGGAAGCTTGCTTGATCATAGGTTCTTGAACCCTGACCGTCCATGTACCCAAATAGTATATACATTGGCCCCAAAGTACTTATATAGGGACTACCTTAAGACCAAAGTATATCTACTTGGGTACATGGACCCTTAGGGGAAGCAGCCCGGGATTCTCGTCATAAGGTTTGATGCCTGGTGATTGATCCGGATTCGCGGCTCTCTCTGGGCGCACAGCCTGGCAGCACTATGGGACCCTAATCCCTCGACAGTAGTGCCCCTCATGGCATCCCTCCTAGTCAGCTTATAATAAGGAAACCTTGTAGAGATAGAACCCTCAGAGGTTGTTGGGTTCAAACAAAAGAGGAAAACTGGGCAGGTCACACTGCTTCGAGCCAGCGTAAGGTCTTATATAGCTCAAAATTTCATGGAATACTGTGCCTAATTATTAGTTCTCCAATACCCAACCTTTAAACTTGTTGGGTTCTTTTTAGTAGTAATCTGAAAGTTTTTCCTTTTACTTCCCTGGCTTGTTGGGGAAGTACGAATTCAACTTAAAAGCACCGTTTCTTGGAGTGCGGGTTTCTTACGGTTCTCGGAGCGTCATTTGCAGTGGCGCAGCACTTAGGAATCCCTTATTTCGGTATTCTGCAGCCGGGGCTTAGGGGAATCTCCCACTTAACATGTGGGTAGTTCTCTAAATTAGGGTCCCTTTTCAGGTCCCCAATAGAGTACGGCACCCTTATAAAATGGACCCTAAAAGGGACCCTAATTTAGAGAACTACCCATGTGCCAGATGATGCTCTTTGCCGCTAGCAGACTCAACACATCCGCAAATCGATGAGCCGTTGAACTTTCGCCGTGTGCAACACTTCCTCTGTTCAACCCTAAACCGTCTAGGGTTTAGGGTTTAGGCAGTTCATTTTGTCTACAGCAGATGCCGTAGATTAAAGCGTCTTTCAAGTATCGCTAGAAGATGCCGTCCCAGACCACCAATACCGCCAATACCTACTAGCCGGGGCCATATACCCATGTTTGAGGGTACTGGGAGGCTCCTGGTACACCCACACCCACCCCCCACCCCCCCTCTCGGCCCTAACCTCTAAACCCTAAGCCATGGAACAACGACGACCCAGGCAGTATTTCCCCAATGTCCTTGACCCGAAGTTCTCCTTCGAGGACTGGCCCGGATCTCAGCCCTCAGGGTATAGGGTTCAGGGGTTCTGGTGCTTTTTGTCGGGGTGTTTAGGGTTTAGGAGTTCTGGTGTGTTTTTGTTGCTGCTCAAATGACTTCTTCGTGTTTTGCTTGCTCTGCCGTGATAGTTCGCCATGGCAGTCTCCCTGGTTCTAGCTGCTCTCGGACACGCACGCACAAGTCAAGGACTTCTCTTTACCCTGATCGCAAGCCAGCCCCATAGCGTTACCACACCGCTGGGGGAACCCTAAACCCTACGTGTCTGAAACGCTGGAAGGCATCTAGGGTTTAGGTTTACGGTGTAGGGTTTAGTGAAGTTCAGGGTCTAGGTACAAGCTATGACCTCTTGCTCATTTAGGCTTTAGGGTTTCGGATGGTTCAGGGTTTAGGTGGGTGGTTGTCAAAATTATGGTCCCTTTTTGGGTCCTTATTATAATACGGCACCTAATATTTAGGGTACCCCAAAAGGGACCATAATTTTGACAACTACCCAGGTATAAGTTCTTATGCTTCTTGCTGAAGGAGTCAGGGAGGCTCTGCAAGGTCTACGTAAACCCCGAAGTGTCAGGTTGAGCAGCGCCCCGAAGCCTTAGCCTAAACCCTAAACTTCCTAAGCCCTGAACCTATAAATCCTTTAACATTCCAAAGGGCCAAAGGGCCCTAAGCCCTATAAGCCCCTACTAAAGCCCAAAGTGTCGGATTGAACAACCCTTTAAAGCCCCAAGCGGATCCTTGTTGGCTACAATTTAACATGTTGGTTATAATAAAGCCCAATCAGGATTAAAAGTCTAAAAAAGCCCCAACGAAGAACCAGCCAAAGTGTCAGGTTGAACAACCCGGATTCTGATTACCTGGTCTTCTTGACGGCCGGCCTGGCATGAATTTTCGAACTAAGGGCTGGAGACTCTTCGGCTCGGTTTAGGGTTTAGGTCCCTTTGGGGGGTTTAGGGGGTTTAGGGTTTATAGGGTCCCCTTGCGGTTGGAGGATTTAGGGGGTTTAGGGTTTGGGGTTTAGGGTTTCTTTGGGGTCGGAGGATTTAGGGTTTTGCTGCCTCGGGTTGTAGAGTTTAGGGTTTAGGTTTGGGGAGGCCGTTGGTTTGGGAGTTCAAGCGGTTAAATTGAAGCGGTTTCGGAATCGGTTTAGGGCTTTATGGGAGTCAGGGGTTCAGGGTTTGGGGGGTTTCGGATCCGGTGGCCTGGGGGCCTAGTGAGGGCGTTCGGGGTTCACGGGTGCAGGGTTTAGGGTTTGGTTTGGGGGTTCAGGTTTTAGGGTTTGGGGGTTCAGGGTTCAGGGTTTACGGGTTTAGGGAGGGATTTCAGGCTTTTAGGTCGTTTTGCGGTTCTGAGGCTTTTTGGGAGTTTCCGCAAATAGGGAGTAAGTACCTTGCTGTGGGCTGCTTATAGTAAGGATCCTACAATTTAGGGTGCTATATTAGGGTCCTCTATTTCCGGAAACCCCCATAGAGGCAGCTTGTGACTGTCCTGTGTACAAGTGCCCAGAGCCGGGAGGTACATCCAGAACATTGAGCTAACTCCATAGGCCACATAACAGTCCTCATAGTTGTACCCCATTGTCATAATTCCCACACCACGCCCTCGTTTTCTATACCCTAAACCCCAAACTCTAAAACCCTAAACCCTAAACCCCTAAACCCTAAACCCCTAAACCCTAAACCCCAAACCCTAAACCCCAAACCCTAAACCTTAAACCCCCGTGTTTATGTTCAAAGATATTTTGCCTGTAGGGTTCAGGGCTTTGGGCTTGGAGTCGAAAGGTTTAGAGGTCAAAGGCTTAGTTAGGATTCATGGGCTTTTTGGTTAAAGGAAACTACAGGTGGGGAGTTTAGGACATATAGGGCTTCTATAAGGCTTCTATGAGGTTTATAGGCCTTCTATAAGGCTCCTATAACGGCAACTACCCACCTGAAAATGTCCTTGATTTGGGTTTAGTAGCTTTGAGGTTCAGAGTTTCTCCGATGGGTCTGTGTAGCCATAGTATGCTGTATACCATGTAAATTGGTTCAGACCCCCCCTTGAAAGGTCTGTAGGGTTAGGTTGGGTACTGCCCCCACTCAGTAACCGTCGGATAATACTTATATTATGGATATGTTAGGCCCTTAATAGTAGCCCTATTATAGACTGTTACTGTATGGGGGGCAGTACCCAAGGGTTAGGGCTCAAACCCTCAGCGACAATTTCCGGCAAGCCTGGCACAGTCATCCTCCGACTCGGCGATCCCCTGTCGACTAGTGGAGATAATATAAGGAGCCTAAACGATTGCCAATTCTATTTTTCAGGTTCCTTGTATTATCGTTATACCAGTTCTAGTTTATAATATAAGGAGCCAAAGCAACGACCAACTCTATTTTGGAGGTTCCTTATATTATAGTTACAGTATAATATACCCCACCAAACCATTTTGGAGGCTTCTTAGTACAGTTATAGTATAATATACCACACAACCCTATTCTAATTATGAAAGCCCCTACATTAGCTTGAAGATGCAGCTCCGGTTCCTTGTTAGCGAAGCCTGAACTTGGCCATCGATCTTTCAAGCAGGGTTTAGGGTTTAGGTTTTTTTTGCACACCCAGAAGCAACCCTACTTGGAGGTTCATGGGCAGCTAGAAGCGGAGTTGTAAGTCCGTGGTATGGATGATAACTATGGTTACCTCACTTATGACCCTGCTTATAACTACCCATGAGCCGCGAATGAAAACTTAAACCAAACTGCAAGACTGACGTCCGTGCACATCATCGAATCTGCCAGGTTGTTTTGTTTGCAACGGCGCATGCTCAAAACTGGGCTGAAACTGAAAGCCCCAGTTTTGAAAGCCTTATTAAACCCAGATCCCTGAACGTGCGTGCAGATAGGAATGGTGTGTTCAAACCTAATCGGATCATGCTCGACTTAAGCACGATCTTACAGGAACCCAATCCTTAGAAGAACACCACACCTCTAATTAAGCCCTTTCAATCAACACTTGCAGGAACCGTTCAAGGAACTGAGATAGACCCTACTTTCGAATCTTATAGGGACCGGAAGCCTTGAAAGAAAGCCTTCTTTATAGAATCCCTAAACAGGTTCCTATATGGGCTCCTACAAAGGATCCCGAAGTGGGAATGCGAAGGTCTAAACCCTAAACCCGTAGGTGGTTACCGTGGCGGTGGTGGTTCTGAACTTCCTCCTCGACGTGGCGAACGGACTCTCGGAGGTCCCTTCCTTTTGGGAGGGCCTAGGACCGTATAGGGCTTTAGGCTTTTTAGGTTTCAGGGTTTAGGGTTTAGGGTTTTAGGGTTTAGGGTTTAGGGTTTAGGGTTTAGGGTTTAGGGTTTGCGGTTGAGGAGTTTCGGGTTGGGGCGGGGGTGGGGTTGCAGGCAGGGTTTCGAGTTCAGGTGCCCTGAGGGCTTTTTGAGTTCCAGCTGCGGTAGTTGGCGACTCCTGGGGGCTTAGAGAACCGGTCCCCTCTATTTTGATAATATACACCCCAAAATCCTGCTTTAGGGTTTAGGGTTATCCTTATTCAATTTAGCAAGGCCCTTATACCCAAAAGGAGCGGTTCTCTGACGAATAGAAGGACCTGAACAACCAGTCGCACCACAACTATATTCCTCGGAAAGAGAAGATCACTGCTACTACATATCGAAAACCCATTAGGAGAAGATCGCCACTATCTACAACATATCGCAAATCTCTAGATCAGGTTGAACCCTAAACCCTAAACCGTGGGTTGGACAAGCTGCGCCCGAACCCTCTCTGCCACACCCCCGGAAGCCCTCGACTCCTAACAGGCCCTGGCCAGCGGCAAGTCCGGAAACCAGCAGCAGTGAGACGGTGAAGCGCGACAGATCCCCGTAGGGGCAAACACATCGAGATCGAGAATGGGGCCCGTAAGCCGAAAAACGCCGTTTCAGACGGATTTTGGGGGTTTGTTTGCGGTTCAGGCTTGGGGTTAAGGCCTCTGAACTTCATCCAGGAGGCTCCACATCCAAGGAGACGCTTCATGATTCAAGCAAGAAGGTTTTAGAGTGATAGGCGGAGCAGCTGATGTTTAGGGTTAGGGTTTTGTCCACTTGAACTTAAGCCCTAAACCCTAAACCCAGCCGATTACTGGTCCTTGAGCCTTGTTGGCACACATCTGACCCATTACTTGGCGACACGTGGAGCGTCGAAGACTTGGGACGGAAGTATCCGCCGCATCACGTGTAGGGGTGTGGCCTTTTGGCTTTGGAGTCCTTGAACACCTATTTCAAAGTTCTGCCTAGGTTCCTACAAGGGCTCTCTAATGGGGTTTGGGTTTGAAGGTTTGTCTTCTCTGCTTCTCTTCAGGATTTGTAGGGTCCGGCTTTTTGGGTGTTAGGTTTAGGCTTTCTGGTTTAAGGAGGGTTTAGGGTTTTAGGGTTTGGGGTTTTAGGGTCTAGGGTTTCGGGTTTAAGGGTTTAGGGTTTGGGGGAGGTTTTCTGGACCTCGAGGTTAAAAGCGTGTGCCTTTGAGGCTGAGGGCATGGAGAATATAGGTGCAAGCTTTGATCAACCCTCAACCCTAAACCCTAAGCAACCAAACCCTAGAAGCCCTAAGCCCTAAACAACTAAACCCTATAAGCCCTAAGCCCTAAACCCTATAAGCCCTAAACAACTAAACCCTATCAGCCTATAAGCCCTAAACCCTATAAACCCTAAACAACTGGACCCTATAAGCCTATAAGCCCTCAACCCCCAAAAGCTGCACAGCCGCCGTGAAGCCCAAGCCGGGAAGCCCTGCCAGCCAGAGATGCCACGCAGATGCGGGCTTCCACAACTCCCACTCGGACATTACCTACAGTCTCCATTGTAGTTCCTTTTTTGGGTTTATATAACCAATTAAGGATTTTGTAAGGTATCTCCAAAAAGGAACTACAATGGAGACCACAGGTAGGGCCTACGTAGGGTTTACGGACCACTACTGTTTGAGATTGAGAATAGAGTCCTCAAGGATTCCTCATCTTATTGATTTTGGTTCCTTATGTCCTGCTTATATAGATGCCCATAGAAATCCTAAAGGATTACTACTATTCTTCCTTATAGACTTCCCCTGTTCTAGTTATGTTTAGATGCCGCAGAGCCCGATTCTAAATTAGACAGGCCCCTAGATTGCAACCTTGGAAACTTCTGGGTTATCATGGCAGAATATACCCCAAGGCATATTATTGAGGGTTTAGGGTTTAGGGTTTTGGGGGTTTGGGTTTAGCGTTGGAGTTTAGGATTTGCGGTTTAGGGGTTAGGGTTTGGGGTATTAGGTCTCGTATGGGAGTGTCCTGCAGGATTCCCATTCAATAGACCTGATTTTCAGAAGCCCTGCAAGTCCTAAGCCTAGCCACAATCTCGGCACCATGGCTTCTGAAGACATAGAGATCATTGGCGCCATCAGTGGCGAGCCGTTCCACTCCTTTAAGGCTCCGACTATCGGGGGGGGGGGGGTTCTAAACCGAAGAGACCACAATTTACGTGATGACCCTAAACCTTGCAGGCCCTAACTCTAAACCCTATGATATGATATAATATAGGGGCCAAAATAATTACCTATACCATTCATTATAAGTATAGTATACGGGGCCCCAAAACCCTATTCTAATTATTAAGGACCCTATATTCCTAGACTCCCCAACTACCCTCTAATATACCCTAAATACCCACTATTAGGGACCATAAGGGCTCTATTAAAGGGCCATTGGGGGGTCCTGGTTACTAAAGGCGCTGATCCCTAAACCTTGGGATTGATTTTTTTGGACCCCGGAAGGGGATCCCTGACTTTAAGGAGCCCTCTGCTTTAACGTTTCGGGGGGTCGGGTTGAACAGCATGTTGTTGGTGTCTAGGGGGGTTGAGGGTTTAGGGTCTAGGTTAGGGTTTTTTGCTTTAGGGCTTATAGGGTTTAGGGTTTAGGGTCGGAACTTTGGCAGAGATGCCGGAGGCCACAATTGCAAGCTGTGGGATGTGGGTCCCCCTGTTGGAGTTTATGGAGTAGAGCTGAACGGATTCGAATGTAGAGATGGAAGTTTAGAAGGTGGGGCGTGTCACGGTCGTAGTCTTATTCCACAGGGTCTCCAGGGTTAGGGCTAGGGTGTAGTAGGGTTTAGGGTTAGGTGCCGTGACAGTTGGGCACGGTTATGCGGTGTTTACAGTCCTTTGTAGGCATTTTGTATAGGTTTCATATAAGGATTCAGCAAGATTTTGCAAAGGGGCCTTCATCATGATCGCCATAGAGTGCTGGGGTAGACTATGATTTAAGCAACTATGTGTTCCGACACCTGCACTAGACCCCGGACCCCAACTCGCAAAAACCTGAAGCTCTAGTCTAAGGCCCAAAGATTGCAAGGAAGCCTGCAGCCCAATAGCCCCAATTCTATGCCATTTTTCTTCTATAAAAACCCTAAACCCTCAAGCCTAAACCCTAAATTACCCTTTTTTTCCTCTATTAAACCCTAAACCCTCAAGCCTAAACCCTAAATGCTTTTTTCCTTTAAAACCGCGACGGCCCCTTGCATAAAATATCCCAACCCTCCCGACTAACGCAGCCCTCCAATCGGGTGTGGTGGAGATTCGACTTGAAGTCCCTTAACCCACCGACCTTTCGGGGTTTAGGGTGTTGGGGTTTAGAGTTTAGGGCTATTGCGACCTTACGACCTTTGAGGGTTTAGGGTTTAGGGTTTAGGGCTATTACGACCTTTCAGGGTTTAGGGTTTAGGGTTTAGGGCTATTACGACCTTTCAGGGTTTAGGGTTTAGGGTTTAGGGCTATTACGACCTTTGAGGGTTTGGGGTTTAGGGTTTAGGGCTATTACGACCTTTTAGGGTTTGGGGTTTAGGGTTTAGGGCTATTACGACCTTTTAGGGTTTGGGGTTTAGGGCTTCGGGCTATTACGACCTTTTATGGTTTAGGGTTTAGGGCTATTGCGACCTTTTATGGTTTAGGGTTTAGGGCTATTACGACCTTTAGGGGTTTAGGGTTTAGGGTTAAGCCTATACAACTTTTCATTTTCACCCTCGACCAAACCCAAAGCCATACATAAACCCCCAAAACCCCCAAAGTAACCCTAACGCCCTTAAAGGAGGACCCTTAAAGGGTCTACATCATGTAGCCGTACACCCACACCTCCGGAAACAGGAGGAGGAGATCACTGAGCTGCCATCCATCGTTGATCTCAAGCTGGACTCCTCAGCTTTGCGCAAACGGGGGGAGTGGACTGGGGGTTTGGGATTCAGCGTTTTGGGATTCACCTGGGCTTTATGAATCAACCCTCCTTACAGCAACAGCGCGGCAACAACTAACTACTGGGGCACGAAAGGGTAGCAACATAGCTCATGCTTAGTGTTCCTTGGTGACGAAGACAGGCTTGGAAGCTTGCAAGGGGAGGCTAGGGGATGGAACCACTGCTTGGAGATCCATGGGTAGTGAAAAGTTATAAGTCGCCTGGTATGGGTTATGATTATCGTTCTCGGACGCCAGGTTAGTGTGACCCGTAATTCCATGAATGTCAGTATACTGCATGGGTTCGCATTAATGGCCCACTTACAGCTGTACATGAACCTCCCAGTAGCCGCTGGATAGACTCTCAGGCTTGACTCTTGACGATGTCCTGTGCAGTTTTGAGAAGTCGGATCCGAAAAACCGACCAGAACATCCCCGTGCTTGTTGTTTGGGGCTTGTAGGGTTTAGGGTGTGTTTAGTTCTTAGGGTTTGGGGTTATATCGGTTTGGGTTTCGTCCAAAAACACACGTCACCCATCTGGAGCTGCACTTGCCCTGCACCGGACACCTTGCAGACGAGCCTCTCTGCATCTTCGAGGTGAGCCGGGAACAGCAGATTTGGATTTAGGGTCGCTGCCCTCTTGCTTTGAGATCCCTAAACCCTAAAACCGCTACTACAGGCAGGCTCCGACCTCATGCGGAGAAAGGGGCTACTGCACTACAAACAATCCCTAAACCCTTAAACCCTAAGTCTACAAGCCCTTCAACAGGCTTGTTGAGGTAAACTTCGGTTCCCCCCCCGCTATCAGCCCTGAAGGGTAGCCGGCAAACGCCAAGTCCAGAGAAGCTTGTAAACTCACGGTTTAGGGTTTAGGGTTTAGGATTTAGGATTTAGGGTTTAGGGGTTTAGGGTTTAGGGTTTAAGAGAGCCAGAGAGAGAGGCAGAGAGCAAGCGAGACCGAGAGAAAAAGAGAGAGAGGGGAGCCTAAGCCCCCCTAGGCCCTAAAGGCCCTAATGTAGGGGCCTAAGTAGTTTCCTATATTATTTTTTTTGGGGGTTCCTTTTTATAAATGTACCATAAAGGGCACCAGAATCCTACCTAATCCCTAAATCCCTATATTAAACCCCTAAGCCGCCGGAGAGATCCGGTCAAACAGCCCGCAAGCCTCCGAAGCTGGGTCTTCACTGCTGTCCTTCAGGCCCAAAACACAACACCTTGCAGCCTCGACCCTAAATCCCAATTAAAATCCAAGCCCTGAAACCCTAAGACTCCGAATAAAACCCTAAACCCTATAAGCCCCACTATAGGGGCTTCAATAATCATCAATACTATTTTGCCCAATATAGGGGCTTCAATAATTATCAATACCATTTTTTTTGGGGGGGGGTTCCTTAAAATAGATATAATATACCCAAAACCCTATTCTAATTATCAAGGCACCTATTTGTTTGCAGACTTCCGACCCGCTGAAGAGCCCCAAAGCTCTTGGACTAAAGCCCTGGTGCCCTAAACCCATCGACCGGAAGATCCTAAAGCCCCTTTTAAGGTTCAGGGTTTAGGGTTTAGGGTTTTATGGTTTAGGGTTTAGGGTTTAGGGTTTAGGGTT